AAAAAAAAAAATCAATATCGTTTGTGAGTAGTGTTTCAAGAATGGTCCTTGAACAAGAAATAGAAGCTCGTTGTTTTGATAGCAACCACATAAGGAAAGAAAGATTTTAATGGGCCTAACCCATCTTTTCGGTTGTGTTTGATGGGTCATATTTCCGCACAATTGGGCTTTACACAAAACCAAGATGCTGAAGAAAGAAAAAAATAATAAATAAAGAAATGAGAAATTTACTCCTTCTACAGCCACGTTAAATCTTATTTGTAAGATTACGATGAACTCATATTATTTTTATATGTACGAATGTTAAAAGTAATAATAGGTAGAATTAACTTTAAAAAAAATAAAAAATTGTCACCACAATTAATTCCTTAAAGTGTATATAATGGTAGTGGACCAAAAATATCGGAGATCGTGCAAATCTACTTACCATATACATCTTCTAAAAAAAAGAGAGATTTATCTGTCCACAAATTTTGTCGTTCTTGTTTCTTTCCAACATTTTGAAAAAGAGATTAAAAAAAAAATCCTAACAATAATCACCTCCATAGTTTCGTCAATGGCCAAGAGTAGACCACCACATGCCAAGAACCACCTCTCCCTATTCTCCACGAGAGCTCAATTGCCGGATTGTTGTTAACATCATGAATTTCTACTCGATGTAGGATTGTTGTCGGGGGAAGGCCAGATACGACGAGAAGGGCGGCTATGCAGGCCGGGGACATGCCAATCGGATGTTTGCTACCGGGTCGGGGGCCTGAAGAAGAAGGGGGAAAATGGGAAGGATGTTTCATGTTCTTATCATGTTTTAGAATTGTTTATATGTTGTTTATTTTATGTATAACAGCATTCAATTTGAATTTTATAGTCATTCAAAATTGTTTATTATGTTTTTATCCGATTTAAAAATTGTTTATATGTTGTTTATCTTAGGTATAACTTCACTGTTTATATGTTGTTTATCTTATATATAACTTCACGGTTAACATTAGAGAGCTGTCAGATCATGTTTATCTGATGTATATATACAGTATATCTAAACATATATTTGGTGATTATTAAGCAGTATATTTGGTGGTT